GCAGAGTGGCTGTGGAGAGAGGAGCGGTAGCCAGGCTTCAATGTGAGGGCAGGCCCGAGCTGTCCCACGATGGGCTGTCCCTCCTGGAGGACACCCAGTATAGCAATTTAGCACTCACCATCTTCACCAAGGAGCAGCAGTGTCACACAGGAGGGAGGAGGGCAGCTGGGCGGACGTAGTCTGCCCTAGATCAGATCGAGGGAGATAAACTAAGGGCTTCTTCGGGGCCTGGACTCTTCGCCAATTCTCTGCTAGATTATAGGACAACCTCCACAGTCTGTGTGAAAGGCATTCACATGGAAATTACACTCAGGCTGGCAGGGGTGACATTCTTCCTGGAGAGGCATGGTGGGGCAGAATATGTTTCACAGAGCATGACAGTTACCTGAAAAGGAGGCCGTCACCAGCCATGGCATAAATGACCCTCGGCATTGGGAAGAGGGAGCCCAGCAAGCTGACCGTCAGTCCTGCCACTGACCCGATGGCTACTACGAATTTTGCAGCGTAGAACCCATGAGCCACAAACATCTCCATGAGTGGCGACTCCGTGTCGATGGCATAATACGGCACCATCAGAGTTAAGATCATGCTCACCTGTTAAAGCAAGAGAAGATATAGCTGGGGGCGTGGGGGGTCAGGAGGGAATGGATGCCCTGTGGGAGGGGAGAGAACCCTGGACCTGGAGGTAGAGGCTTGCATGGCAGCTTAGATCTGTCACTTCCTGGCATGTGACTTCATTCCAGAACGGTCATTTGGCCTCAGCATCTCTTGGCCAATATATTTTCTCTACACGTGTGAATTTGGTGGACTGGACCAGGTATTCTCTTCTAACTCTTTGTGGGTGTTTCATATCCAAGGGGTAGGTTGCAGGTATTCAGCCTCATTTAGTCGGAGCTACTGACAGTTTAAAGGAGGGTAGATATTATCAGATGGAAGAGCTGCAGCTAGGACCTGGTGGTGACCATGCGAATGTTGCCCACATGGACAAGACTCTCATTCCTTTTACATTTTCTGGAGCCCACATGGTTTTACCTCTATTCTCTCTCACTCAAACATCAGAGATCAAAGCTCCAAAGATAAGTGCTTAGGAGGCTATAGTCAATTAACTAATAGAACCTGAACGAGGACTCATATTTCCATCTTCTCTCTCTATCTTAGTTTGGGGAACCAGGCAAGCCAATAAGGAAATTATGACATCAAGATAGAATCTAGTCTTGCCCTGGGGCTCTGAGACCATGGTATCTTTGCTTAACTGGGAATTCCTTGCCTGGGGACTCATGGATCTACCTCCTTCCATGTGTCAGAGACCAGCCATAGAACCCCTCCCTCCAGAGTTGACCCAGAGTGGAACCGTTGGTCACACGGCCAGATACGGGGCTCCTGCAGGCTTGTGAAAGCCAATCCTGACATCAAGAAGGGAGTTCAAAGACCAAGAAGGAGGTGTCATGTGTAGACCACTTTTTTGCCTATTCCTCAGGAGTCCCGAGTCTGCAGTGAAGCCATGGGCACGAGGGAGCACAGGGGATTTACCACCCACCAATCTGGCTCTTCTCATGTGGTAGAGGGGTTGCCTGCTCTCCAGCACAAGACCACACAGCTGCTGAGGCATGGTTAAAGCCCACTCCTTTGAGGGGAGGTTGGGGTGGGCCAGAGGTAGATGGGACTGATGCTCCCAGCAGCTCACGTTGTCTCCTGGCCACGTTAGATCCAGATGGGTAAAGGTTATAGATACACAGAGGTGCTCTGTGGTCTATAACGTGCTATTCGGAGGAATCAACTGATTCTTGACTGGTGTGTGAGCTTCGAGGCTCACACGTAAGTGTTCCTGATATTTCATCTCTGTGGTCCCCTTTACAGATATTCCATTATCTTCAATGGGAGGACAAAGGTAGAGGCAGACTTTGATATTCTCCTCCTTTGGAGGGGCTTGAATGACCTAGTGGGGCATGAGGTAGGAGGTCAGAGAATAGCTGGAAAGGTGGTATTTAGTCCCATCTGCTGGATGTCCATCTGCCAGGAGCCCACATGGCTCCAGGGTGGGGTGATATGAGGGAGGAATAGAAGGGGAAATGCGGATGGAATATTTCTCCCACTCCCTCTACTTCACCACCCCTCCCTCAACACCTTCCTCACAGGGATAGTAAGATGTGAATAGGGCGAAGCCACTGTCTGTGTGTGCATGGAGGGGAGTCAGAGTTGACTCATCTGTAAACATCTGGGTGGGCAACTGAATGTCTATTCACCACCCCAGACGGCTCTGTGTTCTTCAACTTCCAGGACTGCCCTGTTCTGCAGCTTGTCTTAGCCATCCATTGGTCTGGCTTCCTTAGGTAGTTGTTAAAGACAGTTTTGGGGAGAGAGAGACAGTAGGGTTACACCCAGCTGGTGGCTGTTTCCTAATTGTGGTGACTCAAGTGAGTGGGACCCACAAGACCTGGCAGCCTCTGTGTGACCACACACCCGAGGGCTTGTTGGTCCTCTCCACCACCAGGAGTTGAGGGGATGTTGGATGTGGTTGCACTACTTCTGTGACAGAAACTCTCGGATGGGGACCAGACATGAAGCATTAATGTGTGGCCTTGGAGGTGTGACCCTGAGAAGACAGGGCTGAGGCTTCACTCTGAGGACCTCTCTAGGTAGGGAAACCCAAGGAATGAGTTTGAGCTGGTGTAAGAGGGAGCTACAGCTGAGAAACACTGTATCTCCCTCTTCAGATCTAAGGGGAAGGGACCCTCTGGAGGACAATGTATTCTCTTTCCCCACTCTGCGGAGAGCCTCGCCTCTTTGCTGCCGGGAAGCTCCCAGAAGACAGAAGAGCATTGAGGAATGTGCACAGAGGCCCACAATGCCTCTGCTTGCACGCCTACCCGTTACTGCCAGCCTATGACCTGAGTTCCTTGGATGGCCGCCCACTCCCTGCACACTATCCCCTGGGGCAGCCGTGGACACCAAGAGCCTGTGCATAGCGAGGGTGGGGACGAAGACTCGGGAGACAGAAGTGAAGGCCTGGGTGTCTTCTCCTCTTCAGTTCGGAGCTCTGATTTTCTTCCTGACTCTGGTGTGTGGAGCTCCATGGGGCACAGGACACAGGCATCAAGAAGGCTCAAGGAAATCATGGCTTCCTGACAGAGAGGAAGGGCAGTCCCAGAGCCACAGTTTAAGCTCCAGTATACACGGCCCACGAGGAGGGTCCCGTTGGCACTTGGTACTTACAGACACATACGCTGTTAGGCAGATGACCAGGGAGGCGGTGATGGCATAAGGGATGGACGTGTTGGGGTTCTTGGCTTCCTCTCCAGTGGTGGCGATGATGTCAAAGCCAATGAAGGCATAGAAACACGTGGCTGCTCCTTGCAGCACCTGCGAGGGCAAGGGCACCCGTCAGACTCGGAAGGTCAGGGCAGCACCAGGGCTTCAAATGTGATTCCCTCAATAGTCCAGTGCCCCGTGGACATGGCTGCCCGGCAGAGGGGTGACACCGTGGAACTGGTGCTAAACGCCCAAGTTCTGATCTCTGCTTTCTCTGTGACCCTGGGCAGTTCCCTTGTGTGTAACATAAATAAAAAAGATTATGCCTGAAGAAAAGCTGAACACATTCAGTTCCTTTTTGGCCATGAGTGGGGTATAAATACATCACTAGGTGGCTGTCTCTATGCCTTAGGGAATTTATCAACCTCTCTGTGCTTTTGTTTTCATCCAACATTTCTCAGCCACAGCTCTGCGCTCTGTGACTATCACCAGGGGATGTTTGGAAATGTAGGGAGAGATTTTTGACTGTCCCAGAGATGTGGGATGGGCACTTTGTGCATTTCACGTAGGGGACAGAAATTATGTACAAAAATCGTCTGCCCAAATGATCATTGGTGCTCTTGATACAACATCTCTATGGTCACTTTTTCCGATATTCAATGATCTTCAATGGGAAGACAAGGTGGAGACAGATTTTGATATTTTACTCCTTTGGGGGGCTTAAATAACTAGTGGGGCATCGGGCAGGAGGTCAGAGAATAGCTGGGGAGGTGGCATTTGGTCACATCTGCTGGATGTCTATTTGCCAGGAGCCTACGTGGCTCCGCGGGTGGTTGGGACTTTGTGAATTAAGCTCAGTGACTCTACTGAGGAGTGTGTTCAAATGGAAGCATGTTACCTTTGGAAGAGACAGACAGGAAAAGTCAAAAATCACCCCACGGAGGGAATGGCTATACTGCAATCCCCTATCCTCTATTCTCTTCTCAGGATTTTGGGCATGCACACACGTGCCCAACATGTTTTTCAAGCCACCAGGTCTAGGACTCAAACCACATAGTTAAACGTGTGGGATCAAGTAGTCTTAACAACCATGCCACTGCTTGGCCCTATTTTCACTAACTTTTAACTGAGTTTTAGCATTCCTTTCAATAGTGAATGTGGTGACAAACTAGTAGTACCTGCGACTTTGTCAACATTAGCAGTCAGGTATTTTCAGCTCTCATCTGAGAGCTGCTGCAGGGACGTGGAATATTGCTTATGCTACTTGCTACTTCCAATTTATGATAATTCCCAGCTAGAGACATTAATATTTAAAACACTGATAAAGCAGTACATTGTTATTCTATCACAATACAAAATCTATAACTGTGTTTCAATACGATTGATTTCTTTTGGATTCCTATGTAATTAGGGTATTTGTTTAAAAACACAATTCCCATAGCTTTGGTGGCATGGTGACAATGGGATACTCTGCTGTATACTGAAGCCACAGGGAGAGGTCCTGGATTTGCTTCCCAGGCCTCCCAAACACGTGGGCACGTTGGGTGTATGCCCATGATCCTGCTGCCTGTGGCTGGGACTGGGCTGTAGATGGAAGAAATAAATTAAATAAAAAAAAAACTGTATTTTTATAAGAAGTCCAGAGGCGTCAAGGAGTCCAGGGCATCAAAAACTTAAGAACGCCTAATAAGCCGGGGGAAGAACTTCTCGAACACAAGCAGTTCCATCTCTACAGAGCTACTTCATGGGACAGAGAGAAAACTACTTTCTCCAGCCAAATCTTTCATTTGAGGGCATGGAAAGTGTCTTCGGCCTACAGACAAGGAGAGAAAACGGATCTCACCTCATCATACACAGAGGTTCGCAGGCTTGGAGGTGTGCTTGTTTTTCCTCGTCTAGAAACATACTACTGGTCTTCAAGGATGAACAGATGCCAACACTGCAGGTGGGGAGCTTTCCTGATCAGGAGCGCCTCACTTTAAAGCAGCTACCAGAAAACAGATTCTGCTTCTCTTCCTTTAACATCTTTCATCCCTTCCACACACATGCAGAGATACATGCACATATACACATAGACACACACACATATACACACAGATGCTCCCAAGCACAGACACACACAGAGATGCTCATACACCTACATTATACACATGTGTACGTGTACACACATGCCCCTTGTAGGTCATACAGTGACCAGGCATGACAACCAGAGAAGTAGGAAGTCTGTGAGCCTCTCCATGTGGAGAAGTAGGGCCTGGGGATGATTAACGTGAAGAAGGGAAGACTCAGTGGAAGACACGGGCGGCACTTTTGAGTATCCGGAGCATTAGCAGTGTAGCACTTGGAGTAGAGGCACACCATAGGCTCCAGAGGGAACTGGAGAGCCATGCCCAGGGTGGATCTGGTTAGAGGGGCTGACTGTGTAGACTGTCGGACCTACACTGATTCTGCCACATATGGGCTTGGTGATCTAGAACAAATTCCCAATCTCTTGGAGCCCAAGTTTCTTCATCATTTCAGTGGAGATGATAATAGTACCTAGCTCATAGGGTTGTCCCCAGAGCTAAGTAGAATAGTCTAGTAAACTTCACTCCTAGAACACAGTAGGTGTTCTAGGGTCAGCTCTTACCATCAGTATAATTATTACTATTGTGCGTTTTTCTACAGCAGATGCAACCCAAGGGTACGAACTCCTCCTTCCCTCACTTTCCCCCTTGGGCCTCTCCTTCTCTTCCACTCAGTATCTCCACTTTTTCTTCTTTTAGCCTTGATGCATGTGTACTAAGTGCTGTCATGTACCAGGCACTGTGCTTGGTGATGTTACGATGATACTGTTACGAGCTTGATTTCCTGGGGTGTGCAACTCGACTGCAGTAACAACCTGAAGACTAATAAATGCATACACTGCTTGTACCACCCAAATGTTGGGCCAGCCTCCTAGCCAGTGGTTAAGGGAGCTGGAGCCCACATGTCCCATTGTGATCCAAATCCTGGCCCAGCAGCGTGGAAAACATTCTGGGTGCATGTGTATATGTGCCCTAAGTCCCAAAAGGATAGAAAAATGGAGGAGAAGGGATTGTGGCATGACCGTGCCCCATGGGGGGGAGGACTTTCTCCTTTTCATTTTGTCTCTTTGGGGAGTACAGGCACATTTTGGCAATTAAAAAAATACACAAACGTTATTATTTTCTAAATGATGGAAGAATGGGTGGTGATTATTGGTAACGAGTAGATGCCAGAAAATTAAATGATGGTCAAGTTGGAAAGAACCAGAATAAGCTTGCAAACAGGATGTCTGTGAGCCCGACTTTGCACATGTAGAACTGGAGGACAACTGTAGTTGAAGAGACATCGAGCAAGTGGAAGGCCGGACATCTGGGGGTTCTACTGCATTAGGCAGGAACAGCATCAAATGTTTCCAGTGAAATTATTTTGATGAGGGGACTGTAGACCAGTTGGACAAGTGTGGGGTAGGCAGAGTTACGGAAGCAAGATGGAAGGCAAGGCATCAAAGACTAGCAACCATGAGAAGTTGTTGTCATCTCGGAGGTGAGGGGTGGAGCCCAGTGAGAGCTGGAGATGGGGATCAGGGGCCACGCAGAAGCAGCTGTCTTTATGAGGTCACAATCAGTGTCCAGGCTGGGAGGGAGAGTGGAAGGAATAGCTGGCTTGCTCCCGTATCATCTGATTTCCTCCTGATAATATCTCCCACTGGCTAGACCCAACAAGAAGCAACTAGAGAGGGGACCTTCTGGCACAGAACAGCGAAAAAGGAGAGTGGGTCTGGAAGATGGAGGTGGATACCCTGTCCAACGAGACATAGCGCAGATAAGCAGGTTACCCAGGAGAAGAGAACAGAATCAGGCAAAAGGCCACCTTTTTACTCAAATTACTTTGACTGAGTTTTTCTTCCCCACAAGCAATGGTCCCTGATTGATGAATGCAAAAAGACCATGAAAGGCCTGCACATGGGTGTGTTTCTGTCTAAACAGCCACCACGCAGTTTTCCATATCACTGTCCAGATTTCAGATGTGGCCACTGGAATTTATGACTAAGATACTTTCCCTTGCATAATAGAATGTTTATGGCACCTAGGGGTGAAAAAACCGGGTGGGTGAAATGTGGGTATATGTGTGGGTGCTTGTTATGTGTCTGTGTGTGTTTCTGGACACCCATGGGTACTTTATCCTAACTCTTTATTTTATTTTTTAGGTTTTTGCTGTAGGGCACATGTGCTCTTCTGAGAGAGACAGTGAGAGACAATGAGAAGGAAAGTGAAAAATCATGTCCCAGGGTGGAGGAAGTCCACACTGCAATCCCTTCTCCTCTATTCTCCTCTTGGGATTTTGAGCATACATGCACACATGCCTGGCGTGAATTTCAAGCTGCCAAGTCCAGGATTTGAACCGCCATGTTGACCATGTGGAAGTCCAGCGCCTCAACCACAACGCCACCTGCCGATCCCTCCCTTAACTCTTCCTTTTAGTGTTTCACATAATAAAAAAATAGAATTGGCTTTTTAATTGGATGACATAGCTGAAATGGTTTTCTAAGGGCAACCTGGTGTCACGCTCAGCCAGGAGACCCAGAGGGGTCAGGTCCTTGATGGAGCCTCGCACTGGGAAGCAGCAGGGGCCCCCATTGCTGCTTAATTTGTCGTCAAGAGCAATGCCGTCAGTGGCCTGATACTCTGTGCAGGGCCTCTAAAAGCTGCCCCCCACCCCCTTGCTGCTATTTGAGAAACATCAGGATGAGGCGGCCCTCCAGCATTCTGCCTCAACCGACCTGCCAGATGCCTAGGAGGTAACTTAAGTACCTTCGTGTAGTTCTTTCCCACAGCAATGAGGCGAACCCCCTGAACAGCCACTCCCCACCCGCACCCCAGCCCATGTAGAGCCTGTCCACGGCAGACAGCGGAATGCACTGACGGCTCCAGCAAATGGATTCCGATGTGGGGGACAGGGAGAGCAAGCTTTCCTTTGTGTGGAGGTTGTCAGAATTCCTCACAAATGCTTGCTATGGGCCGTTCTCCCGGGAGCAATCTGTGCTGGTCGAGTGTCTTATTTGGTTAAAGAAAAAGCATAAGATAGCATCAAGAACAAATAATATAAAGGAGCACACGTCCAACCATGCCCAGGGACTGAGAAATTGCGGGTGGAAGCAGGGGGTCAGCTGAGGGCCAGAGTTACTTGATATAGGAAAAAAATGTTTGTTGTTCTTAAACTCTTCAGGACCAAAGAAGCATTTGACCCAGAACCTGTAAGTGAGTCAACGGTCCCTTCAGCTATTTTCTTTGGAAGGAAGTGGTTAGAGCAGGGCAGGGTGGGCTTCTGAGGGGACCCCAGCAGAGGACAGACTGTTCATGAACCCTGTTTAAAGCCATGTGGTGGTACTCTTCCAAATTACCCCGTGCGATGGTTTCCTCCACTCCGTCCTAGTAGAGCGAAGGATAAAGTGGATTGGAACGAGTCCGCTAGTCAAGGGGGATCAGGGTTTCCCTCAGGAAGGACGAGTTCACGCAGCTGCCACATGTGTTTTTATGCGGGAATATTTGTTACCTTGGCGGGCGACACGCTCGTGAGATAGCGTGCCAGACTTTAAACAGTCACATTGACTTCAAAGTGACTTTGCCGGGCTGAGAAAGTGACCTGAAATCAAAGTTGGGAAAGAATAGGTCCAGGCCCCATCAGGAGGGAGGGGGTGCTATGCAGAGATTCTAGGCCAGACGACAGAGAGGATGATCAGCACCCTCTCCCACAGGTGCCTTTGTGCTCAGCGACACTGGGACCAGGACCGACACTTGCGTTTCCTTCAGCAATGATAGATTTGCTCCGGAAAATCCACTCTTTCTGAAGCTGGTTTGGTGGCCTAGGACAAGGGAGTAGGCTGGGGATGGTGCGAGGACAGTGGGCACGAGAGTGGAAAGACACCGACGGCTCCTGACTCGGGGTTGGGGAGCCTGGGCTGGGGCTCGTCCAGGAATGGGGTCACGCTTCAGCTCTGTTACTTCATGATCCAGATCTGTGACCTTAATGTCGCTTGTGTTTTTGTTTGAGACAGGGTCTTGCTATGTCATGATCCTCCTGCCTCAGTCCCCCAAGGGCCCTGCACTACCAGGCAGGTGCCGCCGTATCCAGCTACTTCGGTGGGCAGGAAACGAACCCCGGAAATGGATCCGGGCCTTCTGAGTGGTCCTGGCTAAGTAGCAGCATCAGTCCACCTGTGCCCGCGACCCTCAAAGCTTTCAGCTCTGTAAATATCGGCTCCTTCCTCGTATTTATCCTGCAGGCCCGGTGTGAAGATGAGATGAGAAGTGTATATACAGGATTCTGTCACAAAGCCGGGAAATGTCTAGGAAACGCACCCTCCTATGTGATGCCTGGCTTCTGATGGTCTCTTGTTACAAACGCTGATGAGAACCCAGGATACGAACTGGGAGCCCCTCCGGCTGGACCTGCCCCTTCCTTGATGAGGTGGGCTATTTGAGGAAGCTTTTGTAGCCCCTGAGAAGGGAAGAGAAGACTCCAAAAGAGATTCAAGACCACGGGATGATGCACAAGGCGAAAGGGAAGCTAGGGTCACTTCTCTCGGCAGAATGAGCAAAGGCATTTACACGGAGACACGGACCATCCCCGTCTTCACATGGGAACCTAGACTGAAGGGCCGGGGAGCTGGGGAAGGCCATCGCTGGGAACTGTCGAGGGTGCTTCTTCTCTTGGTGGCGTGTGTACATTGATCTCGTTCATGAATAAAATAAAGAAACTTTTCTCTTTCTTTCTTCTTTCTTTCTTCCTTCCTTCCTTCCTTCCTTCCTTCCTTTCTTTCTCTTTCTTTCTTTCTTTCTTTCTTTCTTTCTTTCTTTCTTTCTTTCTTTCTTTCTTTCTTTCTTTCTTTTTTTCTTTCTTTCTTTCTTTCTTTTCTTTCTCTCTCTTTTCTTTCTCTCTCTCTTTCTTTTTTCTTTCTTTTTCTTTCTTCTTTCTTTTTCTTTCTTTCTTCTTTCTTCTTTCCTTTTTTCCCTTAAAGATCAGAGGCTTCCAGGATTTATTTATTTATTTATTTATAGAATTATTTTATTTGACTTTATTTATTTATTTTAATTTGGCTAGACAGGGACAGAATGGGAAAATGAGAAAGCAAGCTGCCAGGTCCGGGATTCAAACTGTGGTTGGCCATGTGAGAGTCCAGCATCTTAACCACCACACCACCTGCTGGCCCCCATTTTTTTTTTCCTTTAAGAGTAAACTCAGAAGGGAGGAGTCCCATATACAAGGCACTCCCATGGTACACAGGGCTTTGGAGACACATGGACCTGGGCAGGAACTTCAGCCCTGGTGCTGACTGGCTAGGTGAGGTCAGGAAAGTTACTCTGGGTCTTGATTTCTCCATTTTTACAGAGATAACAGTTTTCTTATCGCCATAAAACTTTAAAGCAGGTGCTGTTTGATGGGGATAACAGTACCTGTTTTATATTTTTCTTTTGAGAGTGAGATAATATTTATAGACCCAAAGCCAGCCCCTGACAGGTAGTTGAAAGATAGGAGCTTTTTCCTCCCATCAGCAGAACTATCGCTAACCATAACCATGTGCACCTAACAGTACCCGAGATTTTGTTCATTTTTGAAAACACTTGATTTTGTTCATTCCCTGAGATTTTGTTCATTTTTGCAAACACTTGATGCAATTGGTCCTACCAATTGATGGGGAAATGCGGAAGGACAGCAATTAACTGACGGAGAAGTCGTGTAGTGATCCCGTGACCAAATAACTTACATTGTTAAGAAAGTGATGAGAACGTTTTCATGTGCTACAATGAAAATGCAAATCTGTTCCGGAAAAACATTCTTTTCACGCTTGCACTTTGTTGTTTTTCTTATATGATAGGAAAGGAACAATTTGTACCATAAGAAAATACAGACTTGGGTATCCAGAATGGGGTCAGCAGTGCTTTATTGTGTCTTTTTCTGGTTTTAACCAGTTTTGGTATTTATTCATTTCAAAGAGGAGGGATGAACTTTGCGTTTCTGTGGAATTCTTACAGATAAGCAGAAGTCTAGAAATCTTGGCCTGCGTTGCTTTCTTGCTTGCTTTTCTGCATTGAACAGCTTGACATGGTTCAGAATAAACAGAAGTTTTTTCAAGTGTTCTCCGAGAGATATTTTTTTTTTAATTAGGTTTTTGCCATAGGGCACGTGTACTCACCAGAAAGAGACAGAGAGAAGGTAAGTGAGAAATCACCTCCAGGGGGGATGGCCATGCTGTAATCCCTTCTCCTCCATTTTCTTGGTATTTTGGGCACACACAATTGCCTGGTGTGATTTTCATGCTGCCAGAGCTGGGACTTGAACTGTGGTTGGCCATGTGGGACTCCAGAGCCTTAAACACCATACCACCTGCTGATCCCCTCTTCCCGGTGACATTTCTGATTTTTGGACATCTCCGAGCACAACAGTGAAAGCACAGCAGTGTAGTCCTGAACTTGCTTTCTGCCACCAGGTGGACTTGCCTCTCGGGGCCTCAGCCGTTCACCTAAGAGGGGACAGGACCACTATCCTCTAAGCCCCCTGCCAGCCAGGAATTCTCTGACATAGGTTCTATCATTAAAAAGAAAGCGATGGGCTGGTGAATTGTACCGGAAGGTAGAGAAGGTAAGGGTTTCCAGTCACAGTAGAACGCACAACTGGGAGCAACTCGGAACTTCTCGTTGGCAAAAAGCATTTGCCACTCTGGCCTTCCCACTTCCCTTCAGCAGAACCACCCCACCCAGGTCATGGGCTGAGATCTGACAGTATCTATGTGGTTTAGCTCACTCTTCAGCCCCAGCCCACACTAGGAGACCTTTCCACCATGAACCACACATCTGGAATGGGGTTTATGACCAGCACCCCACTGGACTCCACTGTCCTTGCCCCCCAGGAGTCACCTTCTAAGGTCAAATGTTGGGATTGGATTGTAAAAATGTTCTTTCTGGGACCAGCAGGTCATGTAATGGCTATGTCCCTGAACTCCCATATGACCCACTGTGGTTCAAGTCCTAGACCTGGTGGCTTAAAACTCATGCTGGGGGCATGGGTGTGCACTCCCAAAATCCTGAGAGGAGAAGGAAAGAAAGGGATTGAGGGGTGGCCTTGCCCTCCCCCCAGGGGATTTTTCACTTTCCCTCTCTCTATCTGTCTCTCTCTGGTGAGTGCATGCACCCTATGGCAAAAACCTTAAAAAAACAAGGGCTGGAATGTAAATATCTTCCTCACAAGATTATCAGGATAATTAAATGAGCGCATACATGCAAACTTCTTAGCACAGTACAGGCATGCCACAAGTGGCCCAAACACTGACTCTATTATTGTTATCTGTGTAGGACAACAGGGCCTTGTGAAGAAAGAACCACCTCGTCAGGACATCTCGGCTCAGTGTGATGTAGATGAGAGGTGATGAGAAAGGTGGCGGCTGATTACGGAGCAGAGCAGCCTCCTCTGAGGACCTACGTCTTAGGCTGCTCGCAAGGCGGCCGGCAGTGGGCTACCAGCGTAGGCGGGGGATGGACTCACCCCTGACCAGCCATGGGGCAGGAACTGGCCCTCGGCCCAGTACTTCCCGTTGATGAAGAAGAGGCCTGCGATCATGATGAACACCCACACGGCCAGGTTCAGCACGTTGAGGACGTTGTTGAAGCCCACAGAGTTCTTCACCCCTAGGGCGACAATGACGGTCACAACGACCGCGATCACCAGGGCCAGGAGGTCTGGGTACGACTCTTCTCCCTTCCCTGGAGGAGAAAGACGTGACTTAGTGTCTGCAGAGCAGAGAGCACCACGAAGACTCCTGGTCCCACCCCGGGGAATCCACGCTCCATGTTCAGCACTGAGGGGAGGGAGTGCAGCAGATGTGTGTGTGTGTGTGTGTGTGTGTCTAGACGTGCCCATGCGTGCCTAACCGGTGGTCCATAAGGAGAGAGAGAGCACTCTGTGTGTGTGTGTATACACGTGCCCATGTGTGCCTAGCCCGTGGTTCATAAGGGGAAAGAGGGAACTCGTGTGTGTGTGTGTGTGTGTACGTACATGCCCATGTGTGCCTAGCCCATGGTTCACAAAGGGAGAGAGGGCACTTGTGTGTGTGTGTGTGTGTGTGTGTGTGTGTGTACATGCCCATGTGTGCCTAGCCCGTGGTCCACAAGGGGAGAGAGGGCACTTATGTGTGTATGTGTGTGTGTGCACATGCCCATGTGTGCCTAGCCCGTGGTCCACAGCAGATACAGGTGTCTCTGCAAATGGGCAGGTTTGGTAGAGAGGTAACCTGACCTGATACCCTGTCCCCAGCTGGGACACGTGAGGTGACAATCACCATGGAGCCTGTGGAACCTGGGCATGGGTCATTTGAAGTCAGACAGACAGGTCTAACATGTTATCTGAAAATGGTTTTCTTTTCATTATTGTGAATTTTATAGTTCATAAAGTTTTCATTTCATTCCAATAACCTTTTCTTATTATCAAATTTAAGAATCCGTGTCTTGAAAAATGATAAGAGAAGTTTTCTCTCCATTCGTGTGTATGTGGTTGCCGAGAGAAGATGACCAGTGAGCACGTCGGCCAGTGAACTTCTGCCCTCTATGGAGTGGAGAAGGCACTGCCTCGGTCTCCAGGGGTCCAGAATTTCTGCTGTGTCTTGCCAGTGGCCAGCTCTGTGACCCTGGGCAGGTTTGGCATCTCCCTGGCCCTCTTCTGTAAAGAGAAGGACATGGACCACCTGATTCTGGAGGACCCCGTCAGGCCCGCAATTCCATGGGATCAGTCTACCCTTTGTCTTCACTGATACTTGTTTTTTTTTTTTTTTTTTTTTTTTTGAGAGGTTTTTGCTATAGGGCACGTGCGCTCGCCGGACAGACAGAGAGAGACAGAGAGACAGAAAGCAGGAAATCACCCCCCAGGGGGGGATGGCCACGCTGCAATCCCTTCTCCTCCATTCTCCTCTCGGGATCTTGGGCACGCAGGCACACGTGCCTGGCGTGAGTTTAAGCCACCGGGTCCGGGACTTGAACCACGGTCGACTACGTGGGAGTCCAGCGACACAGCCATTACGCTAACTGCTGGTCCCTTTACTGATAACTTTTGCTCTCGTCATGGTATCTGGGTGCTCAGCATTTTATCAGCGTTTCTGGAATAGGGGCACCGAAGTCAAATGACAGCCACAGACTCGTTCCTTGGGAGACGAGGCCAATGTCCTCAGCTGTTGTTCCCCATGTGGGAGGTGAAGACCTCAGCTGCAGTGGGGCGGCCAGCTGGACCGAGCACGAGGTGTCGTATTTGTCAGAGACTCGGCTGTCAGCACGCACCGTCATGCTGCTTCTCCTTGACCCCTGCTAGACCAGAGCCACTTGGCTCCTTTACATTTTTTTCATTTGAAAATTAATGCATAGTTACGAAAATTTGAAAAAAATCTTTTGATGAAAGCACTGCAGAAGTTCCTTACGGTTCTTTTTCTTACATTGGTTTTCTTGTCATGTAGTTATTGACACGTGCATGCCTGGTTTTTGTGTGCTTTAAAATAACTCATCACAGTAAAACATATTCCACGCTATTAAAAGTCTCTCTTCTCATCCTCTAATCGCCAGCTACCTAATATGTGTTCACAATTCACTGAATCATTTGCCCACTGTAAAGGATTTAGGCCATCTTAAACCAATTTCTATAAATAAGGCCGTGATGGACATCTCTTTCTATAATACTTTCACTGAAATTGGAATAATTTCCTTAGGATGGAAAAATTCACAGAGGAAAAATTACTTTGCAAAAAAAAAAAAAAAGACAGAATTAAAGCTTCGATGTATTTTGCCCAACTGCATGCTGAAGGGGGAACTCATTTATTCGGCTCAGTAAATTTGCGTGTCGGGACAAGAGGATGTTGGTCTCACCCAGGCCGTTGAGGGTTCCCACGCTGTTCACCATCCAGCGGCTGATGGTGTGGTTTGCCAGGGAGTCAAACATGCTGCTCAGAGCGCTGGCGCCGGCTGCGGTGCCAATCAGGTACTCCAGGATCAGGTTCCAGCCAATGAAAAAAGCCACAAACTCCCCCACGGTGACGTAACTGTAGGTGTAGGCGGATCCTGTAGTCTTGGGGACCCGGACTCCAAACTCTGCATAGCAGACACCTGCAAGGGACAAATGCAGAGGGTGGCCTTCAGGAGATGAGGTGACCCCTTGGTGGTTAAGGATCTCAGGCAGAAAAAAGTGGGAATCTCTGGTGTCTTAGAACAAAGAGAAACACGAGATATATGAATCGATTCAAAGCCAATTCTCATCTCTTTTAACCTCGCTTTCAAAAATGGTTTCAACCTGGATGCCTGGGAAGGCCATCAGAAGGAATTCTATTGAACTGCTGGAAACTGATCTTTATCTAGAAAAATTCCCATTCGTTGTGCGTGTCTCTGGGGTGTCAGATATCCCAAGTGATCCTGGGCCTAATTATTGGGTCATCGGAAAAGTCATGATGTGTTTTTCTATGCAAAAAGGCATCACGACTTTCCCGATGACCCAGTTGCATAACCCTTTAATGGAACCAGGGTTTTTTAAATGTAGTAATAGTCTTCGGTTTCAGTTTTTACGTTTTACAGAAGGTGCTCTTCATTCGACAGTGGTGCTTCAAACAATCTGAAAATGCTGCACTGTATCTAGGGAGGGAGATTAAAAAAAAATAGAAATATATTAGGACCAGCAGATGGCATAATGGTTACATCACCGGATTCTCATGTAGTTGGCCGTGGTTCGAGTCCTGGACCCAGCAACTGAAAACTCACACTGGGTACGTGTGTGTGTGTGCATGCCCAAGATCCCAAGAGGAGACTGAAGGAGAAGAGATTGCAGCGTGGCCATCCCCTCTGGGGTGTGATTTCTTGCTTTCTGTCTCTCTGGCGAGTGCACACACCATATAGCAAAAATCTCTCTCTCTCTCAAAAAAAAATATATATAAATAAATGGTTAGTTATTAAGGAAGAAGTTCAGCACAGGCAACAGATAGTTTAACATACCCTTTCAGAGGTCCTCCCATGTGCATGGCAGGGTGCTGAGGGTGAGGAATGAGGAAGAGAAACGATCTCAGGGGGAAGTAGGCCAGGAAATCGGGGTAGGCTGGATGGCATGGAAATGTACAAGGACAGGAGCAGAGAGGAGAGGCACGCACTCAGCGGGCTTAGAGATCTTGGAGGAACTAAGTGGATAAAGAAGGTGGGGAGCAGTAGAGAGACGATGTGAGGTATTAAGGAGAAGGGAAGTGTTTGGATGAGAGAAGGGATGAAACTGAAGAGGGACACAGAAGCTGTGCACTTTCTAAAATGAGTTCAGGGCCCACTTATCAGAATCATTTTTGAAGGATTTTGGGTATGCGCACACATGCACCAGGTATGAGTTTCAAGCCACCAGGTTCAGGACTCAAACTGCAGACAGTCAGATGGGAGTCCAGTGATGTAACCATTATGCCATCTGCTGGTCCAAGGAATCTGCATTTTTAACAATTTCCCCAGGTAATACTTGTGCTCACTTGTATCTGAAAAACCTTTAATGCAATTAGAGATGAAATTACAAAGATATTGAGAATGCAGCAAATTTCTGGGAGGTGGCATTTCCTATTTTGTGCTGGGAATTCTGGGTATGGGGCCAGTAGGTAGGGCAACCAGGTGGAGGGAACGCAGCAGGAACGGGATGTGGGAGGATGCAGGAGGAAACTCAAAGGCTTTACCTTCAGACCCAGTTTCATTAAGGGCCACCCCTGAGGTTCTCTCATCACACCTCAGGGAGCCACCATTCCCCCTTTTGTGAATAATGAGGGGAGAGTTCTTCTCCTTCCCAAGGGGGCGAGATCAATGCAAGGAAGCACCAACGGATGTCAAAAGCAAGGACACAGGCCACGCCTCAGTGTGGTGTGCAATTTCTTTGCACCTTCCGGAAGGACATCCATATGGAGGGAGCCCTGGCCCAGGTGGGCTGGGCTTCGTCAACTCCGCCTTTACACTCAATGTCCTTATTTGTAAAATAAAAGCATTACACCTGCTTCTCTCTTAAGGATCTCCTGACTCTGACACTCTAGGGGTCTATGGAGAATATTGAATTCTGCTACTGTGCTGCAAAATACCTCGAACCTAACTCTTTTCTTTTTACATCAATTACTCTATTGTCCAGTCCGATGGAGATGGCCATGTTCAATGGCTCGGACAGCTATTCGTTTGGTGTCCCCAGGCCGGCTCTCTTCTCCCCATTTCATGATGCAGGTTCCCATCTCCCTCCTGATGTCAGGCTGCAATTGTTCCTTCTCTGCCATCATGCCCTTACCTCGAGTCTCCAGACCACCTCTTTTCTAAATTGCTGCTTCCAGTACCTGATGTTTAAACTGTTAGAGGGAGTCTAAAATTAAGAGGAAATGGTTCTGAGGGAAGACAGGAAGGACTCTTACATGAGGAAAGTATAGAGTATGTAAGTACCACATGTGAGGTCCTGTTGTCTCTTGCGGCTACTTGGAGGACTTCTGTGTTCTTTTCAGGGTTCCTGAAAGTCAAGTTTGCACTACGGATTAGGTTGTTTTCTCTCTCTCTCTCCTTTTTTATTTAAGATTTTTTGCTATAGGGCTTGTGCGCTTGCCAGAGAGACAGAGAGAGAAAAGGAGACAGAAAGCAAGAAATCACCTCCCCCAGGGGGATGGCCATGCAGCAATCCCTTCTCCATTCTCCTCCTGGGATTTTGGGCATGCACACACACACACACACACAAACACCTGTATGAGTTCCAAACCACCAGGTCTGGGACTTGAATTGCAATCGACCACATGGGAGTCCAGCACCTTAACCACTATGCCACCTGCAAGCCCCTAGGTTGCTCTCTTAATGCCATGTGAGGGAAGAATTAAGAGGCAACTAACTTCTCTTCAGTGAAGAATCCACAGCTTCATCCAGTAATTTCTGTATCCTATGAGCTTATTTGTTCTATCCAACTTCACTCCCTGATAATGTATAAGATTGATAAGTAGAAATTTTCTAAGTGATGCTTTTGAAACAAGTGATTTGATTGCATATTTAATTTGGAGAACCAATATTGTAGAGTTTGTGTAATCGAACATTCTCTCTATAATATTTGATCTGCTGATTTAAATTTAAAAATACCCCGTTAACCACCAAAGCTCGTTTGCTAAGGGTGACAAGAAAACGGCCAAGTCTTCATTAGGTCTTGAGATGGACCAGCCCCTTGCTGTCCCGAGTCAGGACGAGAGGCTCTTGCTGTGCCTGGTCTAAGGGACATTTGTGATCTTATTCATTTCAAAAGGTCGGGCTGTCATCCTGATTGCTATCGTCTGGGGAGAGCCATTGGATAATCAATCAGCCACTAACTGTATAAGACATTTTGTGCTCCAAGAAATCATCATTTGGACATATAGGATCTTACAATATTTTCAGACCCTCTGATTTGTTTCTGAGCAGGAATTCAGACTTTCAGAGACACTGGGCAAGATCTAGACTGGCATCAAAACTCAGTGGTGAGGAGTGTTAACCCCAAACATCCTGGAAAAATGTCATCAGCCATTCAACTTTTGAAATATCTGATGTGCGAGAGAGACACATTCAAGGGTGTCGTTCTCATTTCAATAAGAAATAGACCACGGAAGGGGAGACCTTGGTTTTCACCCTAGGTTATCCAGCTGAGTGCCCACGAGTCACCCTCATGTGGGTGAAAATGAGACGCCCAACTATTTAGAGATACGCTCTAGCTCCCTCCTGGTGTATCAGTCTCTGGTTTCACGTCTAGAGTCAGCTCTTAATCATCTGAGTCAGTGGGGGAGACCCAGCAGAGAGTGCTGCAAACCAAGATGGTACTTCCTCCTGGGGGAGGGGGTTTGGAAATCCAGGGGGGGTTGGTGCTTCTCATGACTCAGTGGAGACCGTGGCACTAGTGGGCAGGGACTGGGATGTGAGACATCCTGCAATGTGTGGAACCTTCCCCCGCAGGAAGCATTGTCTTGTATCTTACATGACTTCTGAAGGTGCCAGTGGGCACTCCTATAAGTACAAACAGGTTGATCATTTCCGAACCTGAATTTATCTGCATTTTACATCTAAAAGGAAGCATTTTCTTTCCATGGTTGTATATACCTTGCATTTTCCAGGATGGTAGTAAGTGGGTAAACTGAGTCATAATTTGTTTCCTTTGGAGTTTATCAAGAGTAGGCCATCGCTGGAAAACCACATCATCAACGACATTATCCATGGTCTTTGAGCACCAGGCAACACACCCAGGTGAGTGTGCGTTTGTAGCAACTGTAGTGTAGCAATACATCTCTGCGAACATCTGATGATTTCGTCTCCTAACATTCTCACACCTCAGCATTTATACACCGAAATAAATCGTTATTTATTTTTTAAGTTTTGCTATAGGGCATAGGCACTCACCAGAGAGAGAGAGATAAAGAGGGAGAGAGAGAGAGCGAGAGAGAGCGAGCAAGAGACAGAAAGTGAGAAAGCAAGCCACCAGGTCCAGGACTTGAATCATGGTTGGCCATGTGGGAGTCCAGCACCTTAACCATGACACCACCTGTTGACCTGATGTTTTTATTGGAAATTACTTTTCTTTAATTTATCTTTTATACTAAAGGCATACTGTTTTTGTTTGTTTGTTTGTTTGTTTGTTTTGAGAGAGATTTTCGCTATAGAGCATGTGTGCTTGCTGGAGAGAGAGAGAGAGAGAGCGTGAGCAAGAGCAAGAAATCATCCCCAGGGGGGATGGCCACACTGCAATCCCTTCTCCTCCAGTCTCCTCTCAGGATTTTGGGCACACACACACACAAGTTTTAAGTTGCTGGGTTTGGTACTCGAAGTGTAGTTGACTCTGTGGGAGTCAGTGACGTAACCATTACATCATCCTCTGGTCCTGCATACTGATTTAAAGAAAAAAATAAGTGGGAAAAATAATTAAGTGGGTAGGGAGGTGGCATTATCTCTAGTTTTCATTTCGTAATAGTAAAGGAAGCATTATAAAGTATCTATTACCAAAAGTCAATTTGGGTGTACTAGGGTGGAGAATCCCCTTCTAAATGAGAGATCAATGTATAGGAAAGTTCAACTTAACTCGATCATCTTTTAAAAAATAATTGCCCCAAAGTTACCTTCCTAGT